ACCCACCCCCCTTTCTTCCTAGATGATGAGCCCCAACACAACTCCCTCCCCTATTGGCAGAACTGACACAACTCCCTACCCACCTGACACCTTATGAATTTAATCTTTCACATGAGTTGTCAAAATGCTGCGATGCTGGACTTTTAAAACAGTGAAGGTGGCAACTGACAGCTGTGAACAAGGAGATATGGTTTGCCTTTGCCTGACTATCCTGCGCTGCGAGGGACCTGTCAGATTTAAGGTATGGTTCTGCATTTTTGAGGGGCCCTGATCAGAATCTCAGAACTCTTTCTTAACATAACAATGGAGCAGAGTGGTGACGGAGTGTAGTTATCACGCCTTGGAAATTCCGGATATTTAATCCTACTAAAGAAAGTTTTTCTTTTACACATGAAAATAATTAGGTTAATGGGCTCACCGTGCAACAACTTGCATTTATTTATAAAAGTCCATTTAATGCAACAAAATGCCACAAGTACTTCACAGAAACATGTTCAAATAAACTTTGATGTCGAATCACTCAGGAGATGTTAGCACAAGTAACCAAAAATTTCATCAAACAGGTCATCTTAGAACCATCTTAAAGGAACAGATAAAAGGGAGAGAAGAAGCAAAATGTAGGATGGGAATTGGAGTTTAGGACCTCAGCAGCTGAAGCCAGTCAATGGTGTTAATAGTAATACTGTCAGCTTCTTCTATCTGTTAATTACTATTTTATTTCTGCTGGCTGAGATGCACACACACTTCTGGTACTGGAGCAGTCAAACCCCCTTGAGACTAGTTGCTCTTTCTTTTTAAGCTAAAAGACTATTTGGTAGTTGGTTAGTTCCATTAGCTGGATTGCTGGTTTGTGATTTAGAGATATGCCAAAGGTGCGAGTTCAATTGCTGCACCGGCTGAGGTTACCATGAAGGAGTCTACTTCTCAACTGCTCCCCTTGCCTGAAGTGTGGTGACGCTCAGGTTAAACCACCAGCAGTTGCCTCTCTCTCTTATGAAATGGCAGCCCTATGGTCCGATAGGACTGTGGCAACTTTATCTTCAAGCTAAAGACCACTAGTCATCAGAGAGTATGAGCCAAGGTTATAATCACAGTTAGCGGTTACAAAGAAAGTTGCAGAAACATCATGATAAACCACATCCAGATTTTTCTCTTGAATAACTACAACTTTACATTAAAATAAATCCGCATAGTGAATGTATTTTCCTTATTTGTGGCTATTCAATATTATTAATGAAATTTCTTTGGAAAGATAAGCCACACATTGATACTAGTGAAAACCTATTGGCTCTTCAAATACCATATTACACCATGTCATTGGGCACAACAGAATCACCCACAAGATGAAAACTATCATAGGTAGGATTGAGATTTTAATACTCTTTCCTACAACCTCACCCAGGTATAAATATCTGATAATGGAGTAACACACTATAGGTTCCAAAAACACATCCTAGCCCTTCAAGAACAAAAACAGAAGTTGCTGGAAAAGCTCAGCAGGTCTGGCAGCATCTGTGAAGAAAAAGTCAGAGTTAACGTTTCGGGTCTGGTGACCCTTCCTCAGAACTCCTACCTCTTCAAGTTCTTTAATGTACTTCATGGATAGAGCTATTAAGATGTGGTTTGGTAGTTTGACAAGCCTTTACATTTTTAGCAGTTTGATACACCGCTGAAAAATCAGAGTTGTCACTGAACACCAGCACTTGGTTCTACACTGTAAATGTTGCTGATCATAGTGGGAGTGAAGGAAATGTTTCCTAATGGTGATCCTCATTTTCATTTTTGTAACAGATTTTGAAGTTTTATTTAATGGAACTATTTCTTGACTTTCCTTAACCTCATTTCTAATCGTGCCCATTAATCAGTTCATCAGACTGGATAATCAAGTGCTAAATCATGTGACAAATATGGAATTACAATTTAATTCACTCTTACCATTGATGTTGGTGGAATACATTAACCGTTTCTAGTGCACCTCAAAAGATGATAATTAATAACTAAGTTATATCTACTTCTTCACAAAATTTCCTTCCTATTTCTTTGCTCTGCCAAATGCACTGAATCTTCTTGAGCTACAGTTTGGGATATACTGGTAGTCCCTCTGTAAATTGTCCAACAAAGCATTCTTATTGTGAGAGCCTGGGGCAATAAAGGACTTAGTTTTCAACTTGGCTCGCCTGCCAGAAGCAGGCTGAAATGGAATTAAAAGTTGTGAACTTATTAACGTTTCCTCCTACATCATTATATATTCTGTCTCTTCTGCTTGGTGCCCTGAGTATATGGCTGAATATCAGTGTGGACTTCATAGAATCGCAAATGAATGAATAAAGAAAAAAAATTACATGCAGATATGTTGTAAACAGGACTCTTGTGCGTTTCAAGGGACAACTGGGAAGATATAGTTAAGAGAGGGAGTTCCAAGGAAAATAGGTGAGAAAAGATCTTTATGATGACAGGTCGAGCAAGCATACCTTCTGCCAGGTCCCACAAAAATAATACAGCCGTTGCCACCTTCGCATTAGTTTCTGCCCTCTCTACCGCCAAGACATCTGATATTGTTCTGGCCTGTAGAATGCTGCCCACTGGCAGTTTAGTAATGAGGCTGCACCTGCAAGATACACTTTGCTTTCCATCTGGTAAGGGTGTAACAGGATATTCAGCTGAGGTAAGTAATGGCACTAAAATACATATCAGCCAGGATTGAATGGCTGAATGGCCTACTACTGTTCCATTAACTTCGTGACAGCAAGGTGGCTACAAAGTGAGAACCCAGCCTGAGCTGTCCAACTCACCCTATCCAATCGGGGTGATAGCAACACCTTACTCCTCCATGATCCAGACACTTTGCAGGCAGCAGTGCGCTGAGTAACTCAAGCTAATTCTTCCTTCCTTTTCTAGGCCAATTGGTTTATTCTGATTGTTATTGGCCGAAATCAGCCAGGTAGTAACTTTATGCTCTTATTGAACCTTACAGCTCAAATGTTGTACTACTTTCACATTGAGCTAATGGAGAAAGCTTTTCCTTGTAGCTGTTTGAAGTCTTGTATGTAGATACACATGAGACATCCATATTCTAATTATTTATTTCAGTCAAGCTTTTAATTCCAAATCGATGCATCTCAAATCTCCTAAGCAATGACCTCTGATGAAGATTTTGAAGCAGTGGGAAATAGCCACAATAAAATTAGATTAAATAACTTCCAAGAACTAGAGGTGCCCTTTTAGCCAAATACTAACCCATTGAAAAATAAAATGACATTGCAACACCTTATTGTTGAATTCAATTGTACATCTGAGGGTACGCAAAAATATCTTTGTTAAAAGGTACAAATCTTCATAAAATGTGTTTGCCAATTTCTCTTCGCTTGTTTGCAAAAAATACTAATCCCCGAACAGAATGGATTTAAAAACATTTGCATGAAGATCCTGTATTTTTAGTAAATGATGGGGTCATAGAACGATTATGACACAGAAAGTGCCATTCAGCCTGTTGTATACACATGCTGACTTTATGAAAGTGCAATTCACTCAGTTCTACTCTCCTGCCTCTCCCCACCCAGGCCCTGCACATTTTAATCTTCAAATAATTATCCAAACATTACCAAACTGCATTTACTTTATTTGAATTCTTTGTATTAAAAGCATTTTGACACATCTACATGTATTCAAAACATGGAATTCACTGATGAATTCAGTGAAGTAGAAATTTGATTTTAGAAGAAAATAAGACACACAAAAAAAAAGCAAAGGACTGTGTTTGCATAACTTTGTGACAATAGTGAGCAGGTGTGACACAAAACCGTGCACACTAGTCACAACAGAACTGGTTCTGCATCACCCTGAATTTCTTTTATTGGAAATGAGGCAGAATAATCGGTTTAATTAAAATTACTGATCACTTGTCCGAGTTGGGCCCAAACAAAACCTTTGTATTACAAGATGAGAATTTACCAAAAACTGAACTATTTTCAACTCCGACCACGTGAGAAGGATTTGACAGAGCAGGAAGCAACAAATATCAGGAATATGCTCTGAGAAAAGCTGTAACCATTTCATTAGTACTTTTAGGTCAGCCACAAGAGTTTTGACATTAGTAATCAGTGCCACTCTTTTATATACATGTGGTCCCAGAAGCTATTCATTTGAGTATAGATCGAGATATTTATTCACAATGACTACACTGTTGAAGAGACCTCTAGGTACTTTTTCACATGTCAACACATTGCACATTACTATTCCCTACCCTGCTCACCTTTTACCACCCAAACCACAAAGCCTTTTTTTTGGCTAAACATGTACAGATAATCTAGGGATATTAGTATTCCTCTTCAGTTCAAATGATCAAGAAGAAAACTTGATATTTTCTAACTCTGCATTTATTTCTGGATGTCACTTATTTCTAATGTCACCGATCAAAATGGTTGTTAACAAGAGTGGAGTTTGAATATATCATTAATGCGGCTGAAATAAATCAGTATGTTGTTTTGTGCATTTCTTTTCACTACAAGAGCCAAAATTAGAATTACTTTTCCTTCAGCCAGTTCAGGTAATCTGTTCAACTGGCTTCTTTCTCCTCCTGGATATCTGGTGACAAGACTATTACTGAGTAAAAGGAAATGACTTAGATACCAGCACAGTAACAGACGAGTAAACAGACTAGCTTCATAAATTATGCAATAGCAGCCTTACAATACAGTGATAAAAATTTAGTTCATCCAATAAAGTTCACTAAATATGAATGTAAGTAAAAGAAAGTTTGAGAGGGGGACCTTGGTGTGAAAGACAATCAGAATCAGAGACAGAAATGTAGGGAGAAACACCATGACTGACTACTGAGTAAAGCAGGAATAAGGAATATCTGAAGAACTGACCCTTGATTCACTTCCACCCAATTACTGAGCTGCAGCTCAAAGATCTCAAAATATTTCAAACTGTACACACCATTATATATAAATTTATAACTGAGCACATGAACAGTATGATTTGAAAGTAAAACTTACTTGTCTCAACTTAGTAAATTCCCCACTGTAGTCCTTGATTTTAAATTCACACACTCTTTCTCTCTCTCTTTGAGAATGTAATGTGAATCCTACAGCCCTGTACACTGCCAATACCCTTCTTCAATCACATGACCCACCCAAATTTAGGGCGGGTGCAAAGGGGGAAGGGTGGAGTTATAAAACCTCTGGACCATAGTCCTAACGTTGCTCAGAACCTCTTCAGAGTTTTACAGCCATGGTATGACTATTTATAATTCTGAAAAAGAATACTGACAGATTAACTGAGCTCATTGTGTCAATTTACTGAGAATAAAACGAATAAAGCTTCTGTGATCTGCTGTAAAGAGTATCTTAAATTCATCTGTCAAACTAGAGATCGTTTTTGCAATAATGAGTCTGAAGGAAGTGGAAAAGTATGAAAGTGGTCAGAAGCCCTCCTTCCTTTTGTAATTATAAAGCCTGTTTGAGCCAGAAAATTCAAAGCAGCATTAAGCCAGCAGGTTCAGTGAGAGGCTATTGAGGTTTTGCTGAAATGCTGTGTTAAAAGACTGGAGCTGTTGATGGAGATCTGCCAAGATTTTTGTGTAAAGCCCGACTAGAAGATTGCCAACGAAGCAAACGGGGAAGAATTAACATTGAGGACTGAACATTGGCTCAGTCCAGAAAGTAGAGACTCCAGCAAACAAGGGATTGTTTTTACACGGGAAGTTTGTTATGAACTGGACTGCTCTCTCTGAGAGGACGGTGGAAGCAGACACAATAACTTTCAAAAGAGAGTTGTATTATATACATGAAGGCTTTAAAAATTGCTGGCCTGTAATGAAAGGGAAAGGAAATGGAAAGAAGGTCTTTCAAGCAGCGAGCACTGGCTTGATGGGCCAAATGACCTGCTCTATGATTATGGTGACGAGGCAATACGCTCTCTAAACCAAAGTATGCATTATTAAAGCAGAAGCTCGGGGACCAGTGTACATGCCCATGTACATAATATTTGGCTGCATTGGTGATGAGTAAAAATGTGACAATTTCCCATTTTATGTGTGCTGCACTCACTGTGCAGTATGATACATTAATATAAATAAGCCAATGATTCTTGTGTGATGAATATGTTGTTAACTGAATGTATTGAAACTCTTTGGTAACTTTCTTCACTTGTTCAATATTGGCCAAGGTTTTTAGGATGGCAGCGTTTCCTTCCCACGCCACTCTAAGTGCCAATGATATCAGCATTTGCTGCTGCTTCACCTTATGACCTTCACGAAAAGGTGTTTGGGGATGTTTGCTGATGATTTCAAAATGTTCAGCACAATTCATGACTCCTCAGATACTGAAGCATTATTTTTCAATCAACATGTTCAGAGATTTTATGACACATCTCTGGAAAAGGCAGGACTTGAACCTAGGCCTCCTTGTTCAGGGTTAAGAATATTAATACTACACCACAAGAGCCCTCCTGACCCTTAGGCTGTCTGTGTTCACAAGCAGAAATGACCTGGACAACACTCAGGCTTGGATTGATAAGTGATAATTAACATTCACCTCGGAGATGTGCCAAGCAATGACCATCTCCTACAAGAGAGAATCCAACCACTGCCCCTTAATGGTTAATGGTGTTATCACTGAATTCTTTTCTATCAACACACTGGGGGTTACCATTGACCAGAAACTGAACATGACATGCCTATGAATACTGTGGCTACAAAAGCAGGCCAGAGGCTGGGAATTCTGTGGTGAGTACTTCGCCTCCTGATTTCCCAAAGCTTATTCAGCATCTTCAAGGCACAAGTCAGGAGTGTGAAGGAACGCTGCCCACTTGTCTGGATGCATGCAGCTCGAACAACACTCAAGATGCTTGCCACCGTCCAGGACGAAGCAGCCTGCTTGATTGGTACCACATCCATCACCTTCAACGTTCACTCCCTCCACCACTGATGCACAGTGGTAGCGCTGTGAAACATTTACATGATGCAGTGCGAGAAATTATTGAGTTCCCTTTGACAGCACTTTCTAATCTTGCAACGTTGACCATTCCAATGGAAATACCACCACCTGCAAGCCAAAAACCACCCTGACTTATAACTATATGACAATTCCTTCAGTGCTGCTAAGTCAAAAACCTGGAAATCATTTCCCAACAGCACTGTGGTTGCCTCTACATCACATGGACTGCTGCAGTTCAAGAAGGCAGCTCACCATTACCTCCTGCATGGCAATTATGGTTGGGCAACAAATGCTGGCATCGCCTTTGAAGCCCACATCCATGAACAAATTTTCAAAAAAAAGGCTACTTAATGGCCTCATGTGGTTCAAGAGCAGGAGCAGCTGTCACTAGTTTCACTGTAAAATTGTGGAGAGATTGAGGTGGGGAAGGCTGCTGAGACGACCATCTGAGGAATTTTATGGGCAGCCATTCCCTCCCCATCCAACCTGCAAATCCATTGACAGAAAAATGCAAAAATCTGCCGTAATAATTTAAAACCATTCATCAAATCAAAATTTGCATTGAAATGAATGAATGGTTACCTGATAAGTGTGAGTTTGCAGTTTTCTGCCTGCTGTTTCCTGATTTTATATCTCGATTGTGCTGATCTTTACAGTTACTCTCACTGGCAGAAAGTGCAATGATGAGAGGTCTTTGAGGAGAGAAAAGGAAGACGATGAAGAAGAATAGTGAGAGAACTGAATTCATGCAACATTTATTCTGCACCACAAGGTGAGGTATTGGATTTCATGCACCATTTTCACTGCCTGCGCACATCAGTGTAACTTAGTGGCAGCAGGACTCCTTGCATAGTATGAACATGCTCCTACGATGAGCTCAACAGGTTGTAAATAGCTGATAAAATTGTCTACTCCAGTGGAGCAAGGCAGTGAGGCCATGATGCTCTGGATTCACGTATCTTTTACCGGGTCTCCATGTTCCACAATCTCTCGGGTTTTGTTGGAGAAAAGTTCTCGGTAACCATTCCAGGAAGGAGTTTAACAGGTGATTGTTTTCATTGGAAACAGTGTCACAGAGTCGAGACAGCGCTGCACTCTTGTGTTCCTGCTAAAAATATCCATCGTAAAGTGGCCAATGCCTGTTGGTCAATCTCTCGGATTTTGCTGCTAAAAGCATTTCCCTTATAATCCTGACTGGAACTTTGACTGGGAGAGGGAGGCCCAACTCAAATTATAGTGATTCCAATCTCGTATTAGAGCACCCAGTTTCTGTAGATAGATGCTGGGTGAAGCCTTCAGGCAAAAGTTGAAACTGCTTACACTCTTTGCTTACTCATTGTGGCCAATCAGGAGGCTTTCAGAGGTGTTAGAAACTGAATGAGAGTAGCAGCTACACAGTCACAGTTCAGTGAGGAGAGAGAACACGATGTTGAGGTATCAGTGTTGACAAATGCCAGACCAAAACCAACAATGCAATTCAAGGAAGGGCAAAGTCTACAGTGGATTAGAAGGATATCAAGCCAAAAAGATAAAAATTGAAAGCTAGATAAAGGTGAACCATGTGCAATCTGCCCAGAGATATTTTAAAAGATGAAGAGAATGTGAAAGGTGACCACACCGCTATCTATCAAAACAGTTTAAGCTTCAACCAGCCCACTTCATAAAAGGAGACAATGGTGCAAGGGTTAAAATACAGAAAGAATATGAATAAATTCATTCATGTCTTCAAAGAACATAAGGGATTCTGATGTTTTTGATGTTTTCAACTTTTGGTGTGTTTTTGAAACACACCCAGGGCCCATCCTTTGCCTCTGCCAGGTGATTTCTGATAGGTGATTGATGGGCTGAAACCTTTCTATTTGGAGCTTTCTAAAGTTACACGTGTACAACAAAAGCAGCAAAGAAACCCAGGGGCTGATTTTAAAGCTATCCGCCTGGTAGAAAGTGGGCAGCTCAGCAATTTAGGTCAACCATGTCCTTTTTGGTTCTCACTATCTTTTATCTTTACTGGCTCTTCTGAGCATAGCTGGCAAGGAATTCAATGTGAGGTCACAGGAGTCCTTGTTATGGATATGGATTAGGATCTGGTGTGGTCTGTTATTTTAATTCTAACATGAATGAGAACCACTGTCGCTTTCATGCTGAGTGAAAACTAGTTGAAGAGACTCACAAGCAGAAGAAGCGTTTTCAAAGAAAACTTTGTGCTTTGCTTCATGGAGTCATGAGATATAGCTATTCCAATCTGTCTTCCCCTTCCTGAACTCCAATTTCCTCCCCTCTCCCAAAACCTCAGCCAAACTGTATATGCCAAACTTGCAAAGCAGTCTAGTTAAGTCTGATATCAGGAAGGCGATGGCTTAGTGTTTTTTTTATTTCTTTCACTAGATGAGGACATTGTTGGCTAGATCAGCATTTATTGCTCATCCCTAATTGCCCAGATGGCACTTTAGAGTCAATCGCATTGCTGTGGGTCTGGAGTCACGTGTAGGCCAGACCAGGTAAGGATGGCAGTTTCCTTCCCTAAAAGTTATTAATGAACCACACGAGTTTTTCCTGACAATTGATACGGTCATCATTAGATTCTTAATTCCTGATATTTCTTGGATTCAAATTCCACCATCTACCCTGGTGGGATTCAAACCCAGGTCCCAAAAATGTTACCTGGATTTCTGGATTAACAGTCCACGACAATACCACTAGGCCATCACCCCCTCGTTAGACTGTTAATTCAGACCCTGGTAACAACCTGGCCATGGTAGATAGTGGAATTTGAATTCAATAAAATAAATCTGGAATTAAGAATTTAATGATGACTGTGAAACCATTGCCGATTGTCAGAAAAAAACCCATCTGGCTCACTAATGTCCTTTAGGGAAGGAAATTTGCCATGCTCACCTAGTGACTCCAGACCACAACAATGTGTTTGACTCTCAACTGCCCTCTGGGCAATTAGGGGTGGGCAATAAATACTGGCCTGGCCAGCGATGCCCTTATCCCGTGAATGAGTTAAAAAAATGCAAAAATCACTGAGGGAGATGAAATCACTATCAAGGTGATAAAGTTATAATTGCTTGCATCAAAGATATTACATTGGGGTAAAAAATAGACTTATGGTAAAGAGACAGTGGAATGCTGGGAAGCTGTAGATGATTA